TCCTCCTCCTCCTCCTCCTCCTCCTCCTCCTCCTCCTGGAGGGCCACAGGTAAGGCGAGGCCAGGACGAGGGCAAATTCGGATGAGGATAAAGCGAGAACCTCTGAGATCCGGCCAATTCTGGAGGACGCCTCGGGTGCCGCGGCCCTCTCAGTGCGTTCCGGAACGCTCTGAGAGCGTTCCAGAACGGTCGGGTGAAACTAGGCCAAATGATGCTGTGCCCCCAGGTGGCCAGCGGTGGACTGGGGATATCACGATAGTGTCCCGATGGTGACCTCATGGTGCACCGATGGTGTCCACATGATTTCCCGATGGTATCCCGATGATGTCCACATGGCGTCCCGACGGTGTCCACATGGTGTCCCGATGGTACCCCGATGGTGTCTTGATGGTGTCATTCTTTGCCCCCGCAGTGTCGTCAGGTGCTCCTCCCGATGGCGGTGTCCAGATGGTGCCCCGATGGTGTCTCGATGGTGTCCACATGGTGTCCCGATGGTGTCCAGATAGTGTCCCGATGGTGTCTCGATGTCCCGATGGTGTTTCGATGGTGTCCCGATGGCGTTCCGATGGTGACCCCATGGTGCCCTGATGGTGTCCCGATGGTGTCCAGATGGCGTCCCGATGGTGTCCCGATGGTGCCCCGCTGGTTATCCCGATGGTTGTCCCGTGAGATCGATAGATAAATATATAGTGTGATCGATGGATAGTGAGACCGATCGATAGTGAGATCGATAGAAAGATGGTGGGATCGATTGAGAAATGGATAGTGGCACTGGTTGACAGTGAGACTGACAGATTGATAGAGTGACCGGTAGAGAGATCGATAAACATACTTTCACGGCGGCATCCAGATGGTGTCCAGATGGTGTCCACATGATGTCCCGATGGTGCCCACATGGTGTCCCGATGGTGCCCCGATGGTGTCCCGATGGTGTCATCTATTTGCCCCCGCAGTGTCTTCAGGTGCCCCTACCAACTGTATTTTCGACGTTGTCCCGATGCTGTCCCGATGGTGTCTCAATGGTGTCTCAACGGTTTCTCAATCGTCCTGTGGTTGTCCCGCGATTGTATCGCAGGTGTCCAGGTGGTTGTTTGGGGGCTGTCCAGTGGGTGTCGAGTTCTCAATGCCACCATCATCACCATCATCATAACCACCCTCATCATCATCATCATAATCATCAGCATCATCATCATCATCATCATCATCATCATCATCATCATCATCATCATCAGCAGCATCAGCAGCAGCATCAGCATCAGCATCAGCATCAGCATCATCATCATCATCATCATCATCATCATCATCATCATCATCATCATCGTCATCGTCATCGTCATCGTCATCATCATCGTCATTAGCATGATCATCATCAACAGCATCATCAGCAGCAGCAGCATCATCATCATCAGCATCATCATCGTCGTCATCCTCATCATCACCAGCAGCATCATCATCACCAGCAGCATCATCATCATCGTCAGCACCAACAGCATCATCGTCAGCATTATCATCATCGTCGTCATCCTCATCATCAGCAGCAGCATCATCGTCAGCAGCATCATTATCGTCAGCAGCATCATCATCAGAACCGTCATCATCATCAGCAGCATCAGCAGCATCATCATCGTCGTCATCACCATCACCATGATCATACTAATCATCATCAGCAGCAGCATCATCGTCAGCATCATCATTACCACCACCACAAGTATGATCATCATCCACATCAGTCATCGCAGTTGTCGTCAGCTGGTTCCTCCCACACAACCTTCTTGCCACCCGAAGGGTGGTCGCATGGGTATTTGTATGCCGCCTGTCCTTCCCCGATCAGTGAGTAGCAGCGGCGAGCGCGACGCAAGGGGGCGACAAGAGGAAACGAGGAGCGGAGAGAAAGGCGCTGCACAAGCAGAAAGCGAGAGGAGGGATCCTGGCTGCTGGCGGCAGGCGGAGCCCCTACCCTAAGTGGGATCCCCCACGGTTGGGAGCCAGCCCAATGCACAGGCGGCAAAGGCAGATGAGGCCCGAACGGGGGCCCCCACCCCCCCGTGGGGCGGAACCTGCCTCGGCTCAGCTCTACGACCGGCAGCGGTGTGGTCCAAGCAGGGGGGGGGGGGGCCCATGCCCACTCCGCCAGAGGGGTCCCGGTTCGGGGTGGCTCTCTGGGGTGGCGGTGGTGCCAACTCCCCCCCGAGCCCAGCGCCAGCTCAGTGTCCCATGAGGCACGGGCTGGTGGGGGGGGGGCGCTGGGGCTCGGGCGGAGGAGCAGGTGTCCTCCCCCCTTCCCCGTCGAGCCCTCCTCCTCATCCCACCAGGCGGGTCGGTAGGGCGGGCCAGGCGTTTCGCTTGAGACGCCCTCGCAGCTTTTGACAGCGAAGCCTGCATTTCCCGGATACCAGGATGGAGAGCGAATGGTTCTTTCAGGAATGTTTGCCAGCGTTGACCCCAATCAGTACGGTAAAGCACTGTGGATGTATAAGCTGTGTCGGGGTGAATATGCGCGGCGTAAGCTATGAGGTGTAAGTTGCGCGGAATCAGATGTATAGCCGAAAATATGATCCAGAAAATTATCACTTCAGAAATCTGGACCAGCTTCTCGGAAGCGTCTTGAAACGAGCCTGGGCCAACGTCTGTTGTTCACGCTGCAAATGCGAATGTGCTCCATAAGATGGGCCAACTTCCCGGCAACTTGGTTCAGAAACGCTGGCCCAGCTGAAGCTAGAACGTATGGCGCAAGCTGGGTGGTGTAAGCTACGTACAAAAGAAAACGCAATAAACATAAACTTGTGGCGCTCCGCGCGGACTTCTTGGATCTGCGCTGGACCACACCCCTCCCTGGCGCGCGGAGCGCGCCAGGGGCGGCGCCAGAGGTGCCGCTGGAGGGGCCTAGCGCGGATCCAAGAAATCCGCGCGGAGCGCCAACAGCTTATGTTTATGCCCTTGTTGCGTCTTCGAATAGTAACAACTTTGTGGCGAAAGCTCTGTGGTGCAAGCTCTTGGACGTCCAAAATGGATACGGAAAAAGTTGGCACAATGTCAAACAACACATGATGTTGTTCTAAACCGACAGCGGCCGCTGTTGGGCAGACGGGTATCTGTCTCCATTGAACAACGCCCGCGGCGTCGCGGGCAACGAGTCCTGCTCAAAATGATCAGGAACTGATGTTGGGCATTACACCCATTCTTTCTGTACCCATGTCAGTCGTCCCGAAATTTGTATGGCGCGGAGCTACGTGGTGCAAGCCGCCCGGCCGCTCCACGTAGGGGGCCCAAAAATATACACCACCACCTCCTCCCTCCCCCCCTCCCTCTTGCTGGAAAGAGGAGAGAGGAGGAATCGACGTGGTGGTGGTGTATATCCTCTGGGCCCCCACCACTAGCGAGGCGCGCCCACGCGGGGCGGCCGCCACCCGCCGCGAGGCCTCGGAAGGACCTGCCCCCCTTTGCGCACGGGAGGCGCCCCCGCGAGGCGCCCACGGCCGAGCACCAGCGATGGGCACCAGGAGTAGCCTGGACGAGCCAGTGCAGCACACGAGGCGCCCACGAGGCGCCCAAGCACCAAGCACCACTTCTGGGCACCACCCGCCGCGAAGCCTCGGAATGACCTGCCCCCTTGGCGCACGGGAGGCGCCCGAGGCGCTCACGGCCGAGCACCGACTCTGGGCACCAGGATCGGAGGCTTGACAAACAAATGAATACACACAAATCTTAGGAGTCCCATATATATATATATATATATATAGATAGATATCCCAACCATCCTGTGGTGTTGGGTCCTCGTTTTGAAGAGGCAGCGCCCCGCGTTCCTCCCTCCCTCCTCCTCCCTCCCCCTCATCCCCCCTCCTCCCTCCTCCCTGCGTTTCACCCACCCAGTACAGCGCATCGTGGCCCCATAGGGAGCTCCACCGAAGCCCCCAGGGGGACCGTCCGCATGCGTCCCGAAAACCCGATTTGGCACACCCCTCACACGCTTCGTGGCCCCATAGTGATCTCCACCGAAGGCCCCAGTGCCACTGACCGCATGCGCTCCGGAATTCCAATGTGGCATTTTCACCCACCCAGTACAGCGCTTCGTGGCCCTAAAAAGACCTCCACCGAATACCCCGATGGGACCGTGCGCATGCGTCCCGAAAACCCAATTCGGCATTTTCACCCACCCAGTGCAACATTTGTTGGCCCCATCGGGAGCTCCACCGAAGGCCCCAGTTCCGCCGTCCGCATGCGTCCCACACACACACACACTCACACACACACACACACACACACACACACACACACACAATTTGGCATTTTCACCCACCCACTACACCGCTTCGGGGCCCCATAGGGAGCTCCACCGAAGCCCCCAGTGGGACCGTCCGCATGCGCCCTGGAAGCCCAATTCGGTATTTTCACCCACCCAGTACAACGTTTCGTGGCCCCATAGTGAGCTCCACCGAAGGACCCAGTGCCACCGTCTGCATGCGTCCCGAAAACCCTCTTTGGCATTTTCACCCACCCAGTACAACGCTTCGTGACACAATAAGGAGCCCCACCGAAGCCCCCAGTGGGACCGTCCGCATGCGTCCCGAAAACCCAATTTGGCATTTTCACCCACCCGGTACAGCGCTTCGTGGCCCCATAGGGTGCCCCACCGAAGCCCCAAGCGTGACCGTCCGCATGCGCCCCGGAAACCCAATGTGGCATTTTCACCCGCCCAGTACAGCGTTTCGTAGCCCCACAGGGAGCTCCACCGAAGCCCCCAGTGGAACCGCCCGCTTGCGTTCCACACGCCCACTGTAGCATTTTCACCCACCCAGTACAGCGCTTCGTGGCCCCATAGTGAGCTCCACCGAAGCCCCCAGTGGGACAGCCCGCATGCGTCCCGAAAGCCCAATTTGGCATTTGCAACCACCCAATACAGCGCTTCATAACCCCAAAGGGAGCTCCACCGAAGCCCCCAACGGGACCGCCCGCATGCGTCCCACACACCCAATTTGGCATTTCGTGGGCCCCACAAGATAGGGAGCTCCACAGACGGCCCCACTACTACCGCCCGCATGCGTTCCCCCCACCCAGTGCAGCGCTTCGTGGCCCCATAGGGAGCTTCACCGAAGAAGATATTCACAATTGCGGTACCCACAACTGCATGTGGTTGGGCCCTTCGCCAAGATAATTTCATGTTTTTTGATTTTCGTCTTCCCCCCACACTTCCCATATGTTCAATGTCTTGTGGGGAATCGACGATTAATTGTGTCTGTGTGTTTCTCCCCTCCTGATTGACACCAACACCAATATCGGCGGCGTGCTTCCACCGAAAAAAGGTGATCCCGATCTCGGCGATGGTGGTAATATCCAGCATTCTAGGTGGCCGAAAGACTACCACCGACACCAGAATCCAGGATCATCTTCCTTCCGTGGAGGCAACCCCTGGTGTTGGTGTTGGTGCCCATGTCCAAGCTTCCAGCAGGAGAAGCCTCGACGAGCCCATGCGGCACACGAGGCGCCCACGACCAAGCACCAACCAACTCTGGGCACGAGGAGAAGCCACCGCTGCTGTGCGTCCAACTGGGTACCAACTGGGCACCAGGGAGAGACCTCGACGAGCAAACGCAGCACACGAGGCGCCCACGAGGCGCCCACGACCAAGCACCAGCCGGGCACCAGGAGACCCCTCGACAAGCCAATGCAGCACACGAGGCGCCCACGAGACAACCACGACCGAGCACCAACTGAGCGACGATCAAAAACGGGTCTTACGCGAAATGACGCAGCGACCTTACGCGGCGGCTTACGCAGGTCGGCGGCGCGGCACGCTAAGCTGGAAGCGAGGTCGCTTACACGCGACCTTACGCGGGCAGCTTACGCGCCAATGTCGGCGCAATCGAACCCGTTTTTTGCATCGCTCAACTGGGCACCAAGAGGCAGCTCGGCTGCTGTGCGTCCAGGAGGCGCCCACGACCCCGGCACCGACCGGGCACCGGCCGGGCACCAAGCGGGCGCCGGGAGGCACAACGACGAACCAAACCAAACACACCGAGCGCGCAGGAGGCTCCCACGGGCGCTCGCGGGCGACGGCGCGGCGGAGCTTCGGCGCGCCCACGAAGCGCCGGCGGGCGGCAGCGCGGCGAAACCACGGCACGGCCACGAGGCGCCCGCGGGCGGCCACGCGGCGGCACCTGGGCACGCGCGTCCAGCACGCGGGGCGCCCGCGGGGCGCCCACTCGCGGCAGGGCCCCTCTGCCAGGGCCTCGCCGCCGGCCTCCCGCGACCTCGTCGTCTGCCTCGACGCCGAGCAGGGCGGACCGTGGCAATCGGACGCCAGAGAGAGATGAAAGGGGAACTCGCAGAACGAGGAGGAGGAGGAGGAGGAGGAGGAGCGAGAGGGGGAGCAGGAGGAGGAGCTGGGAGGAGGAAGAGGGCCCATGGAGCCCGCAATGGGCGAGAGGTCCCGTACTCCGAGGGCGCTTCCCCCCAATTGGGGAGGGAGATAAGGAGGGGGAGGGGGAGGGGGGGGAGGGGGAGGACGAGGGGAGCGGAGGAGAGGAAAGAACACGACGGGAGGAGGGCAGAGAAGGGCAGGGGAGGGCAGAGAAAGGGGAGGGGGCAAGGAAGGCAGGGAGCTCTGCATGAGGAACGGGCGGGCATGGAAGGGATGGCCAGGGGGAAAGGGTGGCGGGGGATGAAGGGCCGAGGAGTCCCGCGGGGCACGCGGCGCAGCTGAGGATGGCGCCCTCGTCGCCGAGGCCCTCCTGCACAGCTCGCAGCACGCTCGAGTCCTCCTTGCGCTGGGCCAGCCACAAGCCGACGCCACAGCGCACCGCCTGGGATGCACGCCAGCGCGTGACCAACGGGGCTTGTCGTCATCCCGTCAACGGATGCGCGCTGGCGTCCTCCCCTCTGCTTCCTCCCGTCCCCCCTTTCGTGTCCTCTGCCCGCGTCCTTCATCCAGTTTCCCTCCTCCTCCTCCTCCTCCTCCTCCTCCTCCTCCTCCTCCTCCTCCCCCTCCTCCTCCCCGTTCCTCCTCCCCGTTCCCCCTCTTTCCTCTCGCCTCACCCCTGGCTATTGAAGCAACGCATGTCGCTTGCAGTGCTTGTGTACTTGCCCTGTCGCCAGGCGGCTCTGGAGTCCAGTGCAGGGCAACTCGTGCTCAAACGGATCCGACTCAGACGCGATGGCATTACCGGAAAGACCTGCCAGACGCCGGCGTGCATTATGATCTGCCCACTGCCTTCGGAAGTCTTCACCGCGTGGCTCGAATCCAGGGCGCGCCACGGTTTGCCACGGATTCTATTGTACAGATTCGCCCAGCTCCGGCGAAGGAGTCCTGTCGGTGGGTCAAAGATGGGGCCCTGAGGGATGGGCGGCCCCTAAGGGCAGGAAGGGATGCAAGGGTGGATTGACGTTGCTTGAGGCACCTCGTCCTTAGGGCCCCACCCCTCAGGACCCCATCTCTGAGCCACCGGTCCAGGGCTTCCTCTCTGCGCGCGCGCGCACGCGCCACTGCTGCTCACGCGACCAGGCCACCCGGGTGGTGCCGCGGCGAGCGCGGGCACGCCCAGCGTCGGGCCCCGTCGATGGCCCCCCCCGCCGCGCGATCGGGCTCGCGCCACTGGCTGCAGTCCTCCAGGGTCAACCCGTATCGTTGGGGGGCTCCGACCGTCCCGAGGGCGCCCGCCCAGGAGGGCAGTGCCCAGCGCTGCCGTGCGATCTCGCCTTCCCTGGCTGTCCCACCAGGCCCTCTAAGAAACCCCGCTGCGTACGGCCGACCCGTAACATCAGGACGCGCGATGAGGATGCAGGGGCCTTGGAAGGCAGCTTCGGGGCTTCTCGAGCGGGGCGCGGCCAACAAGAGTGGCAAAGGGTGGGCCGAGGAGGCAAGGATTCAAGGATACCCTGGGGAAGCTGGCCCGTCCTTGCCATGCGGGTTGACTGTAGCCGCTTGCTTTACCGCCCCGCAACTCGAACGTCGCCTCTGTGTTGTGTTCCCCCCGATGGCAAAGGGGTCGCCTCTGCTACGGCCGGCAATGGGAGCTCGTGATGTGTGGCTCGCGCTGCCCAGCACGCATGCCCGTCTCGTGCTTGCGAGGCGATTTTGCCCGACGAGGTGCCTGGACGGGGCTTGGGGCTCTGGAGGTCCACGGGATCCCATCGACAGCGAGGAGCCTTGAGGCAGTCATCGTCGTGCCCGTGTTCCTGGCCCTGGCCCCTGTCAGACGCTCGCTCGTGCGATCCCTGGGCCTGCTGTTCGGGGACTTCGGGAGGGCACGCGGCTCGGCTCTGGAGCCCACTGGCTGGCCTGGCCACCCAGACGTTCTCGTCTCGAACCGCTCGACGCGCCCTCTGGGGCGCGGCGCTGGTCGTCTGCACTCTCGTGCTTGTCCTTTGACGCGGAGGCGGATCACGAGCACGTGGATCGACCCTCAGGTGCTTGCCGTGCAGCCAAGACTAAGGTCAGGACCGCGAGTGCGTCTGGCACGCGAGAACGGCTGCGCGCTTCGCGGGGGCCCTGAGGTGCACAAGCGGCTCAAGTCCGAGGACCGCGGCGTGGTCCCGTACGTTCGGGGATCTGTTGGGAGCCAGCGGGCTCCAAGGGATAGGATGGATCATCGCGTTCAGCTGCAGGCTCTTGGTGGACTCCCGCGGCGTCGTAGCGGGAACTTCTGAATGATGTCAGCGAGGATCTTCGGGCCTCAACTCAGCCAACAATTTGGGAGACTCCTGGCTGTGCGGTCCGTGGCCCGGTCCAGGCGTGCCGTTGCCTGTCTGCCGCGACGGCGCTCGGCGTGGATCACTGGCCTCCTCGGCTACGGCTGACATTGCCTGCTGGCGACTGCGGGCGTTAGAAGGGGATGGTGGAAATCTTTCGCCGAGTCCAGCGAGAGCTCGCATTCCCCGCGCAATGCACGCTGAATCGCATGGCCATGCTGCCCGAGAGCGAGCCAGGTGAGCGCGCCGTCTCTAGACGTCCGTGTCTGCACTATGTATAGTGCCGCGTGCAGGGCAGAACGATGGACGAGTGGCCGGCATCGCACACTGGTATCTGGGATAGTGCTATCAAAGGCTCGTCTGGTTTGCAACAGACGTTATTGCATGTACTGTGTGGTCAAGCTTCGCGATGTGTGGGAATCGAATCCTTGAACGCGCATAGGAATACATCAGGAGTACTCGATTGCGTAGTCGTCAACCTTTCAGGGAAGCTTGCGCTGAAAGCGGAGTGTCCGTAGCACATGGTGTATCTTGTCATACTCATCCACGCGCGCCCGCGCATCCTGGAGGTTGAGGACACATTCTCGGCTGTAATCCCCGCGGGCGTGGTCGTTCTTGCTTGAGGTACGCAGTCGATGCCGCTGGTCAAAGTACTGTGATATTTCATAACGCGTGACACGTCCGTTGTGCGCAGCATCCTATCCCGCATGCCCCTGTAATGTCGCGCATACAGATGACATCAAGCAGTACACACAAGGCGTATGTAAACATATCCTGTCTGCTGCGTCCCAAGCTGCTTTGCAATTTTCGGGACCTGATGTCCATTGGCTGTAAAATTTCCGTATAATCCACGGCGGTGACTTCTTCCGGCGAGATCGGCCACTAAATTGCAAAGGAGTTTCGGCGCCTTCGTGTACCTATGCGCTGGCTGCGAAGGATTTGGGCGCTATGCCTGCCACAGGAAGACGCGGGTGAGCTTGAAAAGTTAGGCTTCGAAGCCGCACTGCGCTTCCGAAGGACCTGCAGGCGGCAATAAATGGCCCTCTCGCGCGGCCGACATCAGAAGCTGTCCAAGCTGGATTCCTGAGGGTGGGGGGCTTGGCGCCACAGAGTCATCGGTCTGCTCCCTTCTGCAGTTCTAGCACTTCTGACCTCGGCTGCTAAGCGTTCTGGGCACTGGTCGTCTGATGCTTACACGTGGGTGTTGCTGGCTTCTGGGCCTCCGTATGAAGACGACCCCGCGTATCGCCTCAGACGCGAGCAATGAGAAGCCCCGGTCTCCGTCCGGCATTCCCTCTCTCTCCCGGTTGTCGGCGCGGTGTTGGCAGGGCAGGACCCCAAATCAGCGACAGGCTGCTCGACGTCCCGCCTGCGGATCGCCGGCGATGTGTCAGGGGTTGAGATGCTGCAATGGCTACGAAGCTGTCGGATTTGGGTTGGGCTCCTAGTGCACCCGCTCGCCGGGGTACTCCGACATGCATGCCAGATCCCGGAAGAGGTTGTGTCCCGTCAGATCTTGGCGAATGCGTTTAAGCATCATTGTGGAGTGGGTCTTGCAGGGGGTGTGAGTTTTGCTGTGCTTCGACGGGTCCACGCCAAAGTTGTCAAGCAAGGTGCTCATCAGGATGCCGCTCCGCTGTGCTGTATCGTAGAAGGCGCGTGCTGACCCGACGCAACGCTTCGTCAGGCTGGCTGCGATACATCTGGAATGCGCGAGCGGTGGTGTGTCGCTCAGGAAACTGTGATGCGGCGAGTGCGGCGGTGATCGTGCATCGGCATGATGCGCACTAACGTTCTGCATGAGTCAGAAAACTAGAGGAGGAGGAGGAGGAGGAGGAGGAGGAGGAGGAGGAAGAGGAGGAGGAAGAGGAGGAAGAGGAGGAACAACACTTGTTGGACTCGAGGTGTTTCTACATGTGACGGAGTTGTCTCGCGTGCCAGGCCGCCCAAGGAGATTCGGCTGGGGTGTGCTTTGGAATTTGGCGACATGAAGGAGGAGGAAGAGGAGGAAACTTGAGGCCTTAGTGGCTCTGGCGGGCTCTGAGCGAGAAGACTGGCGACTTCGCAAGCGTGAATGGGCGATGATCCGGCTGGACTCCACAAATGTTGCCAGGGAGCTATGGCTTCGACGCAGTTCTGAGGGACCTTGCCCACCCAGGCTCAGTCGAGCCCTCGGTCCGAGCTGCAGCATTGCTTGTGCTTCTGACCTGCACCACGGGCGATCGGACTACCTCCACACGGTGCGGGCCCTCAGGCTGCCTCGTGCGGTGGGGCCAGTACTTCCCCATATGCTCGATATGTGGATAATGGTCTGGAAATGCCTCGATCGACGATCGAGGGGGTGGAGCTAACTCGATCGACGATCAGGGGGGTGGAGCTAATCTGGACGAAAGCGCATGCGACCACGGCCCTTCGCACCGCATGGGGCCTCCCTCTAAGGACACGTCTTAAATACTGGTGTTGGTTCATTTGCTGGTGTGACGCAGACGCAGACGCAGACGCGCGAGTCCGCCGGCCGGCGGGCCGGCAGGCCCCTTAGGGGCGGCGCGGGGGGGCCAGAGCCCGGTCACAGGCATGTGAGCTTCAAGAAGTCGCTCTCGAGGTCCGCCCAGTCTGCTGGTGTGACCGCCGCTGAAGGCGACGTGTATCCCGAATGTGCGGACATTGTTGCAGATGTGGACGTGATGACCTCTCGAGTGCTGCACCGCCTGTTAGAGTAGAGAACAGAAAATCCGACCTCATAACAAGCACAACGAGAAGCGAAGACGTTCCGCAAACGCACTCAGAGAAGGAGCACAACAATTGTTGCTAGAAATATACTGCTTGGGGCCCAGGCTGGCTAACATCGTAAGTAGATGCTTTGCTTCCTACGGTAACTTGTCATTGTCCGAGCAAGAGGAGAGCACAAAACCGACCGTATACCTTCTCCTCCGTGGGGTTCTCAAAGTTCCCCAGGGCCCCAGGACACCTAAGAGCACAGCAGCCCCGCGCCCCCGAGGCAGCAATCCCTCGTGACTTACACGACGGGCTCGGGCCTCCGAGGCCACGATGCCCTCGATGATCCCCCCGAAGCCACGATCCCTCTGGCAGATTGCAGCCAACCCGTAGCATAAGGATGCGCGGTAAGGATGATGTTGCTCCCATCGTACTCAGGGACCAAGTCCCAGAAAGAATTTCGAGCACCCAGAAAAGTATCGAAAAAGTGTCGAACGAGTAATTATCGCCTCCCAGGGCCCGACACGTAAAAACCCGCAAGGTTTGGTACTTTCTTGGTGCTCGAAATTCTTTTGGTTGTCAACGCTAAAGCATGTTGGAACATCATAAGATAAGGATACACTAGCCTTGGAGGGCCATGTTAACGCTGTTCGAACGTGGTTGGCCAGCGAAAGTCGCCAAGGATGGGCCGACGAGGCAAGGATGCAACGGCACCCCTGGGAAGGTTGCCCACCCTTCATCCATACTATGCGGGCTGACTGTACGCGAGATTCGCGCCCCCGAAACACGATTTCCGCACGTTCGCGCGCTTCCAAGCCACGATCCCTCGTAAAACATCCCAGATTCATGCCCCGTGGCTACGATCCCAATCAAACCAACATGCATTCGCGCTCCCGAGGACACGATCTCCCCTAAATCGCGCCAGACTTACGCCTTCGAGGCCACGATCCCTCGAACAAATACGTTAGGTTCGCGCCCCCGAGGCATTAAGCCAGATGCGCGCCAGCGAGGCGACGACCCCTCGCAAATTGCGCCGAATTCGCGCCCCAGGGAACCACGATCCCCGGTAGATTACAGCAGGCTCGTGCCCCCGAGGCCACGATCCCTCAGCAATCCATCGTAAAAAACCTGCGATCCGCGCCACCGAGGCCACATCCGCGCCCCCGAGGCGACGATCCCAAATAAATGGCACCAGGTTCTCGCCCCTGTGGCCAAGATTCCCTATAAATTACAAACGGCTCGCGCCCTCGAAGCTGCGATCCCTCATATTTCCATTAGGCTCGCGCCCCCGGGGACACGATCCCTTGGAAATGACGCCAGACTCGCACACCCGAGGCCACGACCCCTCGCAAAGTACCCGAGATTCGCGCCCCCGAGGCCACGAGAGCCCTCGCAAATTATGCAAACCTCGCATTCCCGAGACCACAATCCTTCGTAAAATATCGTGATAGAGAGTGCCGGCGGCAGAGGGGGAAGCCTTTACGGATAAAAGGCCTGCGATGATATGGCACCGTGTGGTGTGATATCACACATAAGCACACGCGATGATATAATAGGATGCGCGATGATGCGCAAGTGCTAATGATACGATGTGAGATTAAACAGTGGTTCACGCTTGCTGTGACATGATCATGGCTGTGACCATGCTATGATATGTGGCGCTGACAGCCCCCAAAAAAACACCTATAGTTGGCGCTACGCCAGACTACCTAAGAGTTCGAATGTGAGGGCGGTTTCATACTATCAAAAACCTCAGATGTACTGCAATCAGGCTGAATATTAGAACAAAACTCCAAAAATTGATGCACAAAGAGCCAGCTGCCGCAAGGTACGGCATTGAGAAGATGTACTTTACTTACGTTTGCTGTCTTAGAACTGGTTTGCTTTGCAGTGCTGTGCAGTGCGGCGTGGTGCAATTTCTTGCAGTGGTTTGCTTTGTTTTGCATGCCATCATTTGATTCGCACCCTTTTGTGTTGAGCTACACCGCTTTGAACTGGTTCGCGCTGTACTTATGTATTTGCTTTGACTGGCCCTGCATTGTAGCGCTTTGCTTTGCTCTGCCTCGCGCTAAACATGCACTTCACTGCATGGCATTTCATGGCGGGGGGGTCCTCGAGGAACGTGTTTTGAATCCCCGAAAACCAGGGAGGTATCCACAACGAAAGCGGCCTTGGGACCAAATCGCCGTCGGCCGCTTGCACAAATCTAGAACTCCCTCACGGCTGCGGTTAGTCATAATTACGCCCACAGTTACAAAGGGAGGGGAGGAGAGGGTGAGTAGAAAGGAAAGGAAGGAACAGGAAGGGGAGAGGGGGGAAATGGGAACCAGAAAGGGCGGGGACAGAAAGCGCCTCCAAATCGAGCTTGCGATCACCCAGCACTCGGAGACCATGCCGTGCTCCCTGCAGCAAGCCCTTCACGCACTTGTCGATGGTCCAACCCTGCGGCCAGCTGGGGAACATTCCACAAATAGTGCGTGCGCTAAGAGGTGGTTCCTTCGGTGCGAGGCGGGGATTTATCCATGTCCACCGCCTGGGAACCCGCGTCCTGGTGCCCCAGCGGGCGGTGGATATGGGTGAATTTGGGCCCCTGGAGGCCCGAATTATGTCCATATCCACCGCCTGCCGATGCCCCCGAAATTGATCCTCCAGCCGGTGGTCATGTAGAAATTCCCGCCTCGGATTTGGTCTCTGGATGAGATTCTCCATGTTGCGGGCCTTCGCCGGGCGAGCGCCCGCCTCAGTCGCCGCCGCCTCTTGCGCTGGCTGGCCGTGCTGTTCCTTCGGCAAGTGGCCGCATGTCGCCGCCTCGTCCCCAAGAAGAAAACAAAAAACAAAAAAACAAAAAACGGCACAAACATAAACTCTCGACGCTCCGCGCGGATCTCTTGGATCCGCGCCGGAGCCCTCCTTCCCTGGCGAGCGGAGCGCGCCAGGGGCGGCGCCGGAGGCGCCGCCGGGGGGGGGCCCAGCGCGGATCCAAGGAATCCGTGCGGAGCGCCAAAAGGTTTATGCTTATGCTGTTGTCTTTTGCTTAGTTGTTGGTTGTTAAAACTTATGGTTATGTTTATGTTTATGTGTATGACGTTGTCTCTTCTTCGATCGTCGCCGCCTCGTGCGCTGGCTGGAGATTCGGCAGGCGGCCGCGCGTCGCCGCCTCTCTCGCGCGCTGGCTGGCGCTTCTGGTCGCACCACATACATTACATCACATTCTGGTTCTCTGCCCCAGAAGATCTACAGCCCTGCGGGGGTCTGGCTCATCCCCTCGCCTCCGCGCCTTGTGCGATCGCATATTTTTTACACTTTTTCCCCTCAACAGTGATTGCACTTGCTGGATCTTCTCGCTTGTGTTCCAAGGTAAGTGGGCTCAGGTCCATGTCCAGCTGGCTCATCGCCGCCCGTCGCCGCTGGTCGTCGCTGGGCCCCAGTGGCAGTTGGGCCAGCTCGTCGCCGCCCGTCGCCGCGATGCGTTGCACTGCTTTACATTTAGCTGGATTGTTTTAAATTGCTTTGCACTGCTTTGCATTGTTTTGCATTGCGTTGCATTACTTTGAATTGCTTTGCATTGCTTTGCATTGCTTTGCAGTACTTTGCATTGCTTTGCATTGCTTTGCATTGCTTCGTGGGGCTCTACATTGCGTTGCATTGCTTTCAAATGCTCTGCATTGCTCTGCATTGCTCTGCATTGCTCTGCATTGCTCTGCATTGTTTTGCATTGCTCTGCACTGCTCTGCACTGCTCTGCATTGCGTTGCATTGTGTTGCATTGCGTTGCATTGTTAAGCATTGCTTTGCATTGCGTTGCATTGCTCTGCATTGCTTTGCATTGCGTTGCATTGCGTTGCATTGCGTTGCATTGCGTTGCATTGCGTTGCATTGCGTTGCATTGCTTCGCATCTCAGTGCATTGCTTTCCATTGCTTTGCATAGCTTTGCATTATTTGCACTAATTTGAAATGGTTCGCAGTGCGTTGCGCCAGATTGCACGACGTGGACTGCACCACCTAGATTGCACCACGTTGGTTGCACCACCTAATTTGAACTGCATAGTTTGCAAGAAATTACTGTTTGGGGTCCACGCTGGCTAACAGCTTACCTTGAATCCGCCGACCCTGTCGGCGTGTGCGAGGGGCTTCCTCGTCCGTTCCTCGCCGCCCCCCCTTCTTCCTTCCCCCTTTTTCCTTTTTGGGCCGTACCCTCCTGCCGTCATGCCGTTGTCGATTCGAAGGGAAGCCCCTTCCCTTTGATCCCTTCCCCAGGGGGGGGGGGGGTCCCAGGGGGGGTGGGGGGGGGGTAGGGGGGCAGATTCGTTTTTCCTCGGGCGGCCTCGAAACCTCGAAAACACTCCAAATGAGGTCCGAATGCCCAAGATGGCCCCCGAGACGGCCCAAGAGTGCCCCGAGTCGCCCAAAGATCGGCCGAAGACGCCCAAGATCGCCCCAAGACCGTCCAAGAAGCCTCCAAGACGTCCCAGGCCCCCTCCAAGAGCACCCCCAAGAAGGGCCCAAGAGGCCATACTCATTACTTTTCCATCGGAAACTTACATTTCTAGCATATACGACGTTTCGGCCTTCACGGCGTCACAGACAGCTTCGTCTTCAGGGTCGGCGGCACCGGCCGTAAGGCCTTCGCAATATCAAATATCGCCAAGACACCTGACGCGCGATCGCTTCCCCTCCCTCCCCGCATCCCTGTCAAATAGTACTATGCGGCGCATACACGTTGATATAAAGATGCGCTTTGTCGGAATCGCTATCACATGAGTACCATGCGGGAAGCGTTGAATTCCAATATGTAACAGATATGTACGAATATTATCATACAGCCATACATACATACAGACATACATACATTCATGCATACATACGTGACGCTGCTGACCAATTAAGGGATGCACGATGTCTTAGCGCGCACTCAGTGACATCATACCAAAACCAACGGTGTTTTGCAACTCTGTCAAAATAGAATATGCGAGCCGCACGCTCGCGAGCGTGTCGAAAACAATCAACAAGCATTGCGGACAATCCAACAAAGGCAAATAACGCCATGCGGGCCACACGTGTGCGTCTCCGGACGCGCACGACATCTTTCCCAAGCCACGTGTTCCTAAAGATGTCAACACAGGTCGTTGCGTATGAAGCCCACTTGTTGTTCAACAAACAGTTTGAAGGATCGTCATCATCACAGTCAGCGTCGTCATCATACCCATCTCCTTCATCACCGCCGCCGTAATCGTCACCATCCCCACCGCCACCATTATCTTCTTCATCATCATCATCACCATCATCATCATCATCATCATCATCATCATCATCATCATCATCATCATCGTCATCGTCATCGTCATCGTCGTCGTCATCATCGCTATTGTGGGTGTCGTCGCCCTCGTCACCAGCACCAGGGCCATCATCGTCATAATCATCATCATCGTCATCGTCACCGTCATCATCATCATCATCATCGTCATCGTCGTCGTCATCATCATTATCATCATCACCATCATCATCGTCATCGTCGTCATCATCATGGTCATCATCGTCATCATCAGCATCATCATCATCGTCATCATCATCGTCGTCGCTGTGGGTGTCGTCGCCCTCGTCACCAGCGCAGTCATCGCCGTCACCATCCTCCTCCCCATCCCTCGACCGCCGGAGCCAGGGCTCTGCACGAGAAGAGTCCTCGTGCCATCACGCAACTGGAATTGGCCAATAAGCTGCGGATGGGCGGGCGAGATTGTCGCTCGAGCATTGGAATCGGCGACGAGATTTGGAGCTGGTCACGCGCGGTGCAGGCTGCTCAAGTTCACAGCATAGACTGCACCACATCGAATGCACCACACTAATTGCACCGCCACGAAGAACCGCATGAGATGCACATCACAAGTTGCATGATGTAGATTGCACCGCGTAAATCGCACCGCATAGCTTGCACCGCATTACCTGCACTAGATGTACCCCTTTTCTGTGCATTACACCACAACTACTGCACCACACAAATTGCACCACATATGTTGCATCGCAAAGACCGACCGCACCACATATCATGCAAAACATGGGTTGCACCATACACTGGCTGCACCGTGAATAGTGCGCATCGAGGATGCCACAAACCAATCTGGGATCCACGCTGACAAACATACTTCTGCACTAGCACACAGGATACATTGAACAATTGACACCGTGACGAGAGACATAACACCGCTGGGTAGGCCAGGGACGCCGAACAAGATGACAGCTGCAGCGAAGCACGAGAACAGGGAGGAGAGGGGAGGAGAGAGGAGAGAGGGGAGCGATACAAGGCCCAGCCAGCCGCACGACGGAGAGAGGGCGCCGTTCACATGCGAGCAAGAGGGCGCCCCCTCCAAGGAGGGCAAGGGAGGGGGGTGGGGGCGAGGAGCCCTTCCCTTGCACGCGTAGAAGGCCCAGCCCTGCGCGCAGCCAAATGGCCAAGGACAACGTGCGATCCTCTGGCATCCTCGTGTCTGTCAATCCTCAATTTTCCGACCGTTCACGCTTCGTTCCCAACAGTCCTATGGTGTTGGGTCCTTGGTTTGAAGAGACAGGGCCCCGCGTCTCCTCCTATCCTCCCCATTCCTTCTGAACAACTCCTCCATGTCGCACCCCGAGGCAAGTCGGCGGGCTGGACGTTTCGCCTCACACGTCCGTACCATTTACGAGCCTGAAGCTTACACATTGCCGACAGTTTCACATGGAAGGCGCGTCGCTTACAAAATGTGGCGTTCGCCTTAGCGCTGCGCACATTCGTCTTCAAAATTTGCAAGAGCTTCGCGGGTTGAGGACACGTCGTTTTCAAAATGTGGCTCTGGCCTTAGCGTCGCGAACACTCGCTTCGAACATCTGCAAGAATTTAGCGGATTGAGGGCGGGTGCTTTACAAAATGTGGCTCTCGCCCTAGCGCCGCGCACATTCGTTTCAAATCCGCCGATCCGGCGTGTGAGTTTCAAGGAGTCTCAGCTACAGCCTCGAGGCTGAGCCTCAGCCTCTGGGGGGGTTGCCGGGGTGGCTGTGCCGGGGAAGGGGGGATGGGGGGGGGGGAGGTGCGAGTTTCCGGCGGATGCGGGGCGCTGCTTTTACAGAAGGCTCTAATCTCGAGGATGCGCTGGAAGGGTGGCCGCGGCCGCAAAAGTCTCTGAGGACGGTCTACGAAAGTCCCGAGACCTCGAAGGATCGCCCGAACACACCCAAGATGGCCCCAAGACGGCCCAAGAGCCTTCCACGACGTCTGAAGAGGCCTCCAAGAGGCCTCCCACGATGGCCCCCAGAGGCAAAAATCGTTGATTCCCATTGGTTTTTCCCTACCTAGGCTCTGCCTAGAAGGGTTCTTACTCTCTAGCTTAAAGGGGCCGGGCAGTGCTACACGCCCCGGGCGGTTCCCCCAGTCCCCGCCCCGCGGTTCCCCCAGTCGCGCCCCCTGGGTTCACCCAGCTTAGCTTAGCTTCAGCTTAGCATTAGCTTAGCTTTAGCTTAGCTTTAGCTTAGTTTTAGCTTAGCTTTAGCTTAGCTTTAGCTTAGCTTTAGCTTAGCTTCAGCTTAGCTTTAACTTAGCTTTGGCTTAGCTTCAGCTTAGCTTCAGCTTGCTCTAGCTTAGCTCTAGCTTAGCTTCAGCTTAGCTTCAGCTTAGCTTCAGCTTAGCTCTAGCTTAGCTTTAGCTTAGCTCTAGCTTAGCTTCAGCTTAACTTTAGCTTAGCTTTAGCTTAGCTCTAGCTTAGCGTTAGCTTAGCTTCAGCTTAGCTCTAGCTTAGCTTTAGCTTGGCTTTAGCTTAGCTTTATCTTAGCTTTAGCTTAGATGTAGCTTAGATTTAGCTTAGCGTTAACTTAGAGTTAGCTTAGCTTCAGCTTAGATTCAGCTTTGCTTTAGCTTAGCTCTAGCTTAGCGTCAGCTTAGCTTCAGCTTAGCTTTAGCTTAGCTCTAGCTTAGCCTCAGCTTAGCTTTAGCTTAGCTTCAGCTTAGCTTCAGTTTAGCTTTAGCTTAGCTTCAGCTTAGCTCTAGCTTAGCTTTAGCTTAGCTCTAGCTTAGCGTTAGCTTAGCTTTAGCTTAGCTTTAGCTTAGCTTTAGCTTAGCTTTATCTTAGCTTTAGTTTAGCTTTAGCTTAGCGTTAGCTTAGCTTTAACTTAGCTTTAGCTTAGCTTTAGCTTAGCTTCAGCTTAGCTTTAGCTTAGCTTTATCTTAGCTTTAGCTTAGCTTTTCTGTTGCTACTAATGCTGCTTTCCTAGGGGCTCCAACTCCTAGGTAGGGTCGCACTGGGATAATGTCAATGTTTTTGGGGTTGTCGCTTCTTTCGGCTTTCCGACGCTCCAAGACGGCCCAAGAGGCCCCCAAGACCGCTCGAAGACGGCCCAGGAGGCCCCCAGACAGTCCCAAGACGGCCCAAGAGGGCCCCAAGGCGGCCCAAGAGCCGCCGAAGACGGCCCAGCAGGCCCCCAAGACGGCCCCAAGAGGACCCAAAAGAGGGACGAAAAGCTGCAAAAATCTAGCCTTCCAGCCCACGAGGCCCCCAGGAGGCCCCAAGAGCCTCCAAGAGGGCCTCCGAAAGCCCCCAAGAAGCCCCCACGACGCCCTGACAGGCTCCTAAGATGGCTCAAAAAACGCCCCAAGAGGGCGTCCTTGCGCCGATAGGCTCGCCTCCACCGCTCGCACCACATCGTCCAGGCCACATGTTTCGTAACACGACTCCGTGCACGACGTATCGTGAGTTTCCAAAGTGATCGGCATCCTGTATGGAATTTTCATGTCATTATTATTTCCCGTCCCCACGGTCACTGCAAGCACCCCGCCGTTGATAGAACCACTGTTGCGAGATGGCTCTATTGACCCAACTGCATTCCTACGCCCTTTCGAAGGTAACCCGAGAAGTTTGTGCGTTTGAGTGTGCGCCCATAATGTCTGCGTCTGGAGAATAACACCGAGCGACCCGGATCGGCGGCACTGGCCGAAGGCCACTACAATATTTGCATGGATTTCACCTGTTCTCATGGTCACGTACCAGACCAGAAACGGAGTTTCGGAACGAGTCAGGACTGTCATGGCGCAACAGTTACGTTCATTCGCTGTGTTGAAGTCCCGAGTCAGGATTGTCAAGACGTAACAAACAGGTTGACTTGTGGTGTTCAAGTCCTGGAAATGGTGTTTCGGCGGGTCTCGTTGGGAATGCGCCTCCCTCCCCCTTCCTCTCCCAGAGTGGCTCCTGCGCTCTTGGACCAATGTGGCTGTCTTTGGGCCACCTGGGTCCGCCAGAGCCTCTCTGAGCCAACCTCGACAATCTTTCGAATCTCGCAGGCCGTCTGGGAAGGCCCAGAGGCCGGCCCACCCTTAAATTCCCAGAGATCCGATGTCGTGATTTTCTAATACGGGGTCCCCGGAAGTCCCGACCCCTTCCCCAGGACCAGTTTTTCATCCTGAGTCGATGTTTGACAGTCCCGGGGCCCGGCGAGGGCCTCTTGAGGCCGAAAAGGGCGAAAAACTTCCGTCTTGATTTTTTTAAATGCGTTGGATCTCTGGGACTTATAGTCTCGCCGCCTCGGTCACAACAGCGTCCAAGAGGGCCCAAGAACCCCCAAAAAACCAGCCCGAAACGGCACGAGAGGCCCCCAACAGAGAGGCCCACGAGGCCTCTCAGAAGGGCCCAGAAAGCATGCCACTGTCGCACCGCTGGAACGCCCCGCCCACCCGGCCCCCCAACATGACCCCAAGATCCCCAAGAGACCCATAAGAGGCCTGACGAGGCCTCAAGCCTTGGCGGCGCGCAGAGGGGGGTAGGGGGAGGGGGGAAGGCTTCTTAGAAGGGGGCTGCTTCTTAGAAGGCGCTGGCCTTACATGTATAGAGAAGGCCCGCGCCTTCTGAGAGCAGGGGTGCTTCTAAGAAGCCTTCCTCCTCCCCCTACCTCCCTCTGCGCGTGGCCGAAAGACGCACCCAAGGGGGACACATGCCCACAGGAGCCCACCAAGGAGCCCCCCAAAGATCCCCAAACATGTCCCCAAGGTCTCTGAAACACGACCAGGACGCAGAGGCGCGATGAGCCGAGAACTATGAGATTTCCGCCCTTGCATCGAGGCCGCCACTGCCCCTTGCCCCCCAGCCTCCCTTCCGCCTCCTGCGCCCAACCTGATCACTTCACAGGGTCGGCATAACCGGCCGCAAGGCCTTTGCTATAAATCATTCGAAACGTGGGGGCACTGGCCAGGAAGACGGCGGAGCAAGCCTGAGACACGAGCCTCTTGAGCAACTGCGCGACCTCATTCTCGTTGAGGGCAGTGCCCTCCCCTCCCTGAGAGGCACACATCCTGGTTACATTATCCCTCGTATGCGGGATCGTCATGAATATCCCCATAATCATCTACTCCTTCTTCATCATCATCATTATTATCATCGGCATCGACGTAGTCGTCGACCTCGTCGTCGTCGCCATCATCATTATCATCATCAGCAACAGCATCATCAGCAGCATCATCATTACTAACATCACCACCAGCATAATCATCCTCATTACCATCACCATCATCACCATCATCATCATCATCATTAGCAGTATCGGCATCAGCAGCAGCATCATCATCCTCATCATCATCATCACCATCATCATCGCCATCACCATCGCCATCATCATCATCACCAGCAGCAGTATCATCACCACCACCGCCACCACCACCACCACCATCATCATCATCAGCATCAACATCATCAGCAGCAGCATCATCATAACCATCCCCCCTCCTTCTCCTCCTCCGTCTCCTCATCTCAAACAAACAGATCGAGGCTCCCCGCAGCAGCTTCTGATAAGCTTACCGTCGCGCCCACTACGGTCGCGTGCCACTTGAGGGATACATTCAAGGACTCGGACCCATCATAGCTTCAAACTTATGAGCAAGCAAATCTGCGGGTTTGCTGGCACGACGGTTCTGCAGTTTGAGGTCGCCGTGTTCAGTCAGGGCCTCACCTAGACAGCAAGTGCTTGTACACCACTTCTTGGTCCTTCAAAAGACTGCGTTCAAATATTTAACGAATTGGGCGTAGCAAGAGCAGGGAGACAATTCTATGAGTTTGGCAAGTTTTGTGTTCGTTGAATTCGAAATTTTGTTATCTATGTCTAAGTTGCATCGTTATAGATAAATACAAAGGTATGTATATATGCGTATGTATGTAGAAGTCTGTATGCATCTATGTAAGCATCTGTATATATATATATATATATATCTATGTGTATCGATATGTGTATATATATATATATATATATATATCGACGTCTGTTCCAAGGGGAAAGATGACTCTGGCACTGACCGCCCTCAGGTGGGCGTACCTCAATCGGCGTATATGCACATGGGCTCTGAATTGTTTGAAATGGTGGCAAGGCCGTCGCTCTTCTGCGGGTCCGGCGTGTGGCCATGGCTTCATATCTGATCACCGGTGACAACACTACAAAAGCCGTGTGCATGTCATATTCTTCGGGAAGGCGTTTTGTACACTCTGTACATGGTGCACTTACTGCTTTAGCTGATGGGCACATCACTGGGATATTGAGCTGCGGTGGTGGTGGGTGTATTGGGCTTCAGACGGCCCTATTGCCAGTGGTGGCCTGTGGTATTGGAGTCGTTGTGGGGTCTGGGTGCTGGCTGGTCGTAGGTACGTCTGCTGGTTGGGCAGTTTGCGTATCCTGGAACGGCGATGGTGGTGTGGTGTAGGAGTGGTCGCTGCTGTCGTGGGACGATGTTGGCGTAGGTGATTCGGTGATACCGAAGGGTATGTCGCGGTAGCCAAGGAGGCGCTGTAGTAATTGAGCCATCTCATGTAAAGCAAGTCCTCTTCCTCCTCTTCCTCCCCATCCTCCTCCTCCTCCTCCTCCTCCTCCTCATCCTCCTCCTCCTCCTCCTCCTCCTCCTCCTCCTCCTCCTCCTCCTCCTGGCAATCGCGACCTGCGCTGCTACTCCCCATACAAACATCCCACCTCGTCCGACGACGACAACGACGACGACGACGACGACGTGCCGCCCGGCCCCTCCCGAAGGGAGTGGGCCGCCCCAGCCGTGCCCGGCCGCTGCCGCGAGCGGCGCGGGGGCGCCGCGGGGCTGCGCGGGTAGAGGCTGCGGCCGACTCCCCCCGGCCTCGGCGCAGAGCGGTGCCGAGGAGGGGGGGAGGGATCGAGAGGAAGGGGTCGCGAAAGGTCGAAGTCTCGGAAGCGATTGGACCCTGTCTGGGCCCCGCCTGGGCCTCCGGACGCCTCCCTCCGGCGGTTTCGTGGGCCCCCAGTGACCGCCAAAGCACCCCCAGGAGAGCCCCGGAGGACCCCAGACATCTGGAGATCCACATGCAGAGACCTGCAGAGGGAAAGAGGGAGGGGAGGCTGGGGAGAGGATGGGGGGAAGGCGGCGTGGGGAGCGGAGGGAGATAGCGTGCGGGTGGAAGAAGTGAGGCGCTACTCGTCCCCATCCTGCCCCTCCCTCCGCCGCACACACTCGTGCATTGCACGCATACTACTACACTGATCGCAGGTGCACATGAATGCGCGCATGGGTAGAGCAGCGAGCCAGGTGGCGCATCTGCGCGGCAGCGCAGGCGGATGCCAGCACTGCCCCCCAACGAGAAGGGGAGAGGAGCACATTGGCGAAGAGCGCTTTCCTGGAGCACCCCCGACATGACAACGTCCAACGTTCCCCAAACAGTGCTTGCACGTGGGGGTTCTTGCCTGTCGTCCAAGGACCTGGGCCCGTGTGCGGCCCCAGCGGCCCCGCTCCCTCCCGTGCGTTCATCCTCCTCCTCCTCCTCCTCCTCCTCCTCCTCCTCCTCCTCCTCCTCCTCCTCCTCCTCCTACTCCTCCTCCTCCCCTCGTTCTCCTCCTCCCGTTCCTCCTCCTCCTCCTCCTCCTCTCCTCCTCCTCTCCTCCTCCTCCTCCTCCTCCTCCTCCTCCTCCTCCCCCCCCCCCTCCTCCTCCTCCTCCTCCCTCCCCCCTTTTCCCCCTCCTCCTCCTCCTCCTCCTCTCCTCCTCCTCCTCCCTCTTCCTCCTCCTCCCTCCTCCTCCTCCTCCTCCTCCTCCTCCTCCTCCTCCTCCTACTACTACTCCTCTCCTCCTCGTCCTCCTCCTCCCCCTCCTCCTCCTCCTCCTCCTCCTGCTCCTCCTCCTGTTCCCCCTCCTCCTCCCGCACCCATTTCTCCCAATAGAAAGATCGTGTGTGGCCCTGGCGGCCACGTTCCCACCCGTCGCTGCCGCCCCGTTGCCTGCCCCCCCCCCGTTCATTGCAATCGCATTGCATTGCAATCGCACTGCATTGCAATCGCATTGCATTGTTTCGCATTGCATCGCATTCTTTCACATTGTTTTGCACTGCGTTGCGCTGCTTCCATTGCTTTGCATTGCGTTGCATCGTTTCGCACTGCACTACGTATCGCCATCAATCATCATCCAAACGTCCTTTTTCCCACCATGTTTCGGTGTCGTGTGCTGTCATTCCGCAAGATGATCCCAGATGCTTCTAGATGGTTCAGATGTTCTAGCAGTGGCCCCGCCGAGAAAATGCACATGTCCGAGCGATGCTACGGTGTTGCGTCGCATTGTTTCGCATTGCGTTGCATTGCGCTGCATTGCGCAGAAGTGGTCCGCACTGGCTCGCATTGATATGCATTGCTTGGCACCACATAGGTTGCACCACATGGATTGCACCACCCACATTGCCCCACATGGACTGTGCCACCTAGATTGCACCGCGCAGATTACAAGAACTCACGGTTTGGGGTCCACGCTGGCTACCAGACACTAATTCGGCTGACTCCAGCAAGGAAACTGTTGCGAATAAGTTCGATGTCTGTCGTTTGTGACTGTACAGAACAATGTGCTACATAATTGCTAGCGTATGGTTGTTGCACAAGCCATGTATGAGTGGATTGTGACCTAGTTGATTTACGTGATAGCTTGTGCAAGTCCGCTGCATATGCGTGGCTCGCGCAGCTGTCTCATGTTATACACCCACGTCATGTCCAATACGCGCGTCGGCATTGTGTTAGGATGTCGCCTCGTGTGTCCCCTATGAAATCATTGGTACACGTTCGTGTCGCATTTTTGTTTGACCCATGTAATGGATATGTGGTATGGTTTGCCCAATCTGCGTGTAAGGCGGTCGTGCATTGTTTTCCTGTCCCCTCTTGATGTAAGCTACTGGTCTGTGCAGCTGACGCATGCTGTGTACGTTTGTCCGTGATGGGCACTGCTTGTGTATGGTATTGGTCGACATGGCTCCCGTAGTGTTCCTGACGATTGTCGTTGATGCATGTGGTGGGTGTACATGTGATGTGCGCTGTTGGTCCCCATGTCTGCCGTACGGCATTGATGTGCCGGGCCCCAGTGGCTGTTAGTGACATGTGTCATGTGTATGTTCTTGGAGCGTGGTATTGAAATGTGCTGTTGGCAAGCGTTGTTGGCGCTCGTGGTGATATATGGTATTGCTGTCTGGTCTTTCTGCTGGGCAGTAAAACCTTGCGTTGCTGTCTAATCCTGGAGAGCGATACTAATTATTATGTTTGGTGCGTGTTCCTGGTGTGCGCTATTGATGTCGGCCCGTGATGTCAGTTGCTCGCGCATAATAGTGGTGCATGTTCTTGATGTGCGGCATCGATGCACGTTGTTGCTGTATTGTCATGATGCCCGTCTATGGTGTATGTGGCTGGTGTACAACATTGCGGTGTGATGTGCATCCCTGTTTCTGCCGCATGACATTGATGTGTCTGCTCTTGGTGGCTTGTGGTGACGTGCGTTATGTAGTTATGTTCCTGGCGTGCGGTAGTGCAGTAAGCTGCTGGCTTATGCTATGAGTGTTGAATGTTGGTGAACATTCCTTGTAATTGCCAACAGTGTACATCGTTGGTGCGCGCGTGGGCCATGCGTGCACGTTGTGATATATGGCACTGGCGTACGCACGCGGTAAACGGCACGGGTATTGGCGCATTGTGTCGCTGCTGCAGAATACGTGCTTCACTGGTGCATGGTAACGACGCATGATACTGATGCGCGCTACTGGCGCGCGATACTGTCGCGCGTTCGGAACGCTGCGTTGGTAATCATCACATGCGATGCAAGTGGTACATATAATTTGCGATGTTTGTTCTTGGCGCCAGCCACAGATGAATGTCACGTGCATCATATGACAAATTCTGATAGACTTGCGGAGGAGAGGCAGTGTCTCATATTAATACGCTTTCAGCGCCAGGATCAGCACTAAACCAAAAAGTTCGCGGAAGGGGTCACACTCGCTGGCGCGCCTGGCACCTCGCGCCAACTGCAGAACAACTCTGGAACATTTCGCGCGCCCCAGAGTTCCAGATGCCAAAAGAAACGCCTGTCCAGCAGCTCTCACGCCCCGAAGCTTCACAGAGTTAGGACAAGGCTAAAACGCACCATACAGACGGAGCGCGCAGCGCTAGGTATGGATACGTGAAAGCACGCAACAGGCCGAGCCACATATGATTAGCCCAGCCTGGTCGGCCCCTGCCGGGCCGGACGGGCACGCGGCAGTCTTGGCGGCCCCACTCGGCCACGCGGGTCGGCCGGAAGCTCCCCGTCGCAAAACTCTCGATTTACGCCCCTCCTCTCGAATCTACTATCACGAACTCCTCCTCCTAAAATACGCATCGCAGTAGGTCAACATATCCAATCCTCTTCGCAAGGGGGTCAGTGATCTGATGCCTCGTGCCATCCACCCATATGATGCCAGCATCGCTGTCCTTCATGCTCTCCCGCAGAGCGGCCATGTCTAGGGCCGTCCTCTGCTTGAACGGATCAGCTGACACGCTGCGCAAGCGGTCGCGCAGGCTCACTCGCTGCCGGCGACCACGATCAATGGGAAACCGCGCCCAGCCTCCAGGCCCGTCTTCGCCGTGAACCCAGCGAACGCCAGCTGCGCCAACATCGCCATCGGGTAGATTCCGGTCGCCAGCCCCGCATCCGCCCCAAGCGCCTCCGCCGCCGGGGGGCCCGGCGCCTTCTGAGCCGCGCGGCGGGATCGCCACGCCACTGGGGAGATGCTTCCCACACTTCCCTTGCAAATGCAGATGCCCACGGCCATGGAGACCCGCCTGGCCCGGCGGGCCTGGCCCTCCGCGGTCGCCTAGGCTGCATCCGCCACCGCGAGGGATGCGAGGCCCCCCAGGTCGACGCCCCGCGCCCACCTTCACGCACTCCCAGCCCGAGCCCGTTGCCTCCCAGGAGGTCCGTTACACGTGGAAGAAACGTGAGGCGCATCAAGGACACAGGCTCTGCGTGGTCGGGCCGGGCCCCCCAACCCCACGTAAGTGAGCGACCCCGCCACGGCTTCAACAGCAGAGATCTTCTTCTCGTTGTAGGTCTCGTCGGCCACTGCGTTTCGCCAGACTGGTGCCGATTTCCCCCACCTTGCCCTCTTGACTAACACTTACAGATTTCTCCAGCAACTCTCCGGCAGTGTGCCTGGGAAGTTGCCTTTGCCCTTCCAGTAACTGCCGAAAAGGACGCTGCTTGATCTTGTCCACGGCCATCTGGAAGCGCGCGCCACCTCCGCCACAAGCGCCGTCCACCGCAACGGCCAGGGATCCACGGCACTGGATGTCGCCACGCCGATACTGGAGGCACGGGTCGTAAGAGCCCGCCCTGAACCCCGCTCGGATCGCCTCCGCCGCGAAGCCCCTGCACCACCGCCCACCGCGGCGGCGCGTCGCCGGGCCGCAAACGCAAACCAGGATCTCCAAGGGGGGCCCAGGAACCCCGTCTGATGGGCTTGCAGCAGAAGGGCCCTTGCTTCCGCTGGCGGCGGTAGCCGTTCGTGAATGCCGAACTGACGTCGCGGGGCTCGACGTCGAAACTGGTGGGAAATTTTAACTGCGCGCTCATCATCCAAATCTTGTTCCCATCGGCACTCTGCCGCGCGGCCACCGCCCTTCTTCTTCCACGTGTGGCAGCGTCGGATCGGCACCAGTCTGCTGGGATCCTCGCGTCTGCCGCGATCCGCCTCCTCTGGGGCGCGACCCTGACCTCGCTCGCTGCCACGCGGCACCTCCACTTGTGCAATCCAAAACCCGGATGGCAGGGCGCCTACAGCGGGCAAAGGCGAGGCGAAGTACTGGCGAAAGGGCCGGAAAGTAT